CCCCAAAACCCCAAAACCCCAAAACCCCAAAACCCCTTTAGTCCAAAACAAGTTTGAATTTTGAATTATTACTTCATCTATCTAAAAACTCTCTCAATCATGAAGTCATAAAATCTTTCTGCGTACATCTTTGGAGGTATACAGCTCATCTTAGTACCATGCTTGCACCTCTTAAAGTAATATTCTAGTTGTTTCCTTGTAGTGTAGTTGGTCAGGGTGTCGATGATACCAATGATGTACATCTTCTTCTTACCGACATTCAGGTAAATCCCTCTTTCAGCATCGTTGCTCTTTTTAGCAATCTTTTTTGCATAGGTTAGTACTGGGTCTTGAGGATCTTGCTTCTTGAGCTCCTCAAGATCGATGATACCAAGTAAAAGAGAGTAGTCTAAAGTCTGGTTTTCGCCTAAATAATCTGCATCAGCCTTTATATCATGAATGAGAGAATTTTTATCTTCAACATTGAGTTCAACAATATCCCCTTTGTCAGTCCAGTCATTATCCTTCAAAGCTATTTTCGGATCAACTATTCCATTCTTAAATACGGTTTTACGACCTTGAATAGAGCCTTTAAGGTCATATTTGACATCTGGGGAGAACTTTCTGAACATATTATTCATTATGATAATATACTGCTCTCTCTTAGTGCCATTCTCAGTATATTTTATCTTGTATAGTCCATAATATCTTGTCAGCAAAGATCCAGGGTACTTGCAGAGATGGTCATGGTAAGGCTTCAATGTGCTCAACAGCTTGTAGAACTCCTCCCTTGCTATTGTCTTCAGCATAAATTTTCCGTCAAGACTATAGTAGAACAAAGATCCACTTTTTCCACTAGAGACTAAAGATGTGAATGTTTTGAAGTTGTTGGTCCAGATATAGTTATAGATGTTATTTGGGCCGAGAGACTCGATGTACAAATCATTTTCAATTCCATCTTTGATTCTGATATCCTCAAAGATCTTAGGCGCATAGTCGATAAAGACAAACTCGTTTGAAGATGAGTTATTTGTGGAGAACCATTCATTCTTATACTCATATTTCGCAACATATCCGTTATCTCGAGTATTTAAGAAAGCAAAGGAGAACTGTCAGTCTATAGACCTCTTAATACCAAGCATAATATTGAACACTAGGTCAAACCTCTCATGCCCAAAATCAATAAACTCCCTATCTTGTGGTAAGTCATCCTCATTATCTTCATTATTCTCATTATCATCTTTATTATCTGATCGATATATTTCTTCACGTTTATTTTCTTTCTGATGGCTTATGAGTTTTCTTGCTTGAGTATCCAGAGATTGAGAGACATCTATCATCAACTCTGCAATATTCTGAATATTATCCAGAGGGTCTTCATTATCATTTCGGAGCTTTTTGGTTAGCTCCTTCTCTAATTTCTTATTATTCAGCAGATCCAAATTCGAATTTCTATGGCTACTCGCAGATTTTTGAGTGGCCATTGAATCATCGTTTCCTTTAAGCTCCTCATCACTATCTTCTTCCTCATCAGAGTCTTGGTAGTCTTCACCTTCGTCCTCTACATCATCATCATCATCGTCATCATCCTCCTCTTCAGAAATTGATTTACTCTCTTTCTTGATCTCCCTCTTAACATGATAGGTAATGTGGGATCTAGTCTTCTTTCCAAATTTAGCAGGAACATCTAAATGATTCTTCATACCTGCCTCATCCTTTGTGAATTTCTTGACAATATCATAATAGCCTCTTCTTCCTTTGCCCAAAGCTGTGTTCTGGATGTTCAACAGATAATTGGTATGCTCTGAAATGCTCTCAATATCAGAGTCTCCCCTGAGCATCTTGACAGACCGTAAGATCTTCCTCATTGAAACCTCAGTAGTACCAATATACTTAAAAAATAGTTCAATAAGTTCATCAACTACTTTCTTAGAATATTGGGTTTCTTCCTTGTGAAGAATATCATTGAGCATTTCCTTTGGTCTTTCAAGCCAGACAAAGAGGTCGGGATTGTCATTCAATGCTTTCATGTAGTTATCAAAATTGAACTCATCCTTACCCTTGGGAGCGATTTGCTCAAAAACTTCATCTATCATTCCTTTATTTCTTTCAATTTTCTCCCGGTCAGCCTTGGAGTACATGTCGAGGATGTTGATGACAAAATTTTGGAACTCCTCTTTAGATACGACATCATCTTTGTTATCATTGATCATGGCAAAGTTCTGCTCTCTCTTTTCAATTATTGAGCCGTTTAGGATTACATTATTATAAGTAATGTATTCTTCAAGGTCAATCTTGTTGTCCCTGTTCTTGTCCATGGCAGAGAACATACGCTCAGTAAAGTAAGTACTCCCCAGAATTCCCATCATCCTTCTATACTGATCCAAGGATATCTCATTATTAGTCGAGTACTTATTAAACCTCTTCACCAAATCGATTAGTCTTGGGTCATCTGGATTTTTAAACTTCTGAAAGAACTTTGGTTTTTTGGGTATCTTACTGCTTTTATTTGAGCTGCTTTTGAATCATCACAAGCAACCACTGCTCCCTTTATTCTTACTCATTTGCCTTGGTTAAGGATCTTGAAATTAAATTATTTCAATTCAAATTATTTTATCGGGGTTTTGGGGTTTTGGGGTTTTGGGGTTTTGGGG